TCTCATGAAGTTAAGAAATTCTTTCTTGACAGAAAACAAATGGCCTTCGTGAACAATCTTGAGAGCCTCTGGAAGATGGCTTTTGTCAGTTTCTTTCAGCTAGCTTAATGAGAAAATTGATTTCGCTTTCTATCTGACTTCGGCTTTGAATTGTTGTTTTGCATTTTACGTTTTCTTTTCTTTTCTGATAAAGTATCTTTTCTCAATCATTTGGCAAAGAGCTGGGCAGACATTCGGAATAGGACGACATCATCATCCGATGTAATGTCCTGCTGAATATGAAGCAGCCGAGAAAAACTGTATGACTCTGTTTGCGCAAAATCCTAAACTAGAGAATGCAAGACTCCTGTGACTGCCCGAATCGTACTCGATAGTAGTAGAGTAGTAGCAGTTTTGATCTTAAATAATTTTAAACCCTAATGGTACAGTTAGTTACATTTTTGTTTTATTGGAACTTTTTTATTTTTTAATTCGTAAGATGATATTGTAATTTTAAGTAGAAATGGTTTTAATTTTAATTACAAACATTGTAAAGCGCTATTGAGCCCTGGAAATGAGCGCTATATAAATTCATCTCTTGTATTGTATTGCACTCGATGAATATTCATTTGTAAACGCTGAAAATCTGCACTGCATACCTTTGAATTATTGCGTGAACGATCCAGGTAGCTGTTCAAACTTGTCATCCAGCGCTTTGAAAAGTGAGCCTTTCTTTCTGTCTTTCTGAAGATAGTTCGCAATTTCAAACTGACGAGCTGAATGTAGTGGAAGAACACGTGGTGTCCTAGGTCGAAGCTCATTGCAACGAACATCAAGAATTTCTTGAACAAGCTGACCATGTGTTTCGTGCTGCTTTCCTAGTTTTTCTGAAAGTAGTCCCAACACATGGGACGTTTGGCTTCCAACTTAATTCCTAGATCGTCCAGGTCTTTCTGTGTGAGCGCCTTTGGTTTTTTCTTCCAGGTTGTTGTTTACGATTCACCGCGTTATCCTTTTTGCCTTTATTTTTGGATGCCGCACTACTCGAATTGGCGCTTTTACCTTTGGCAGGACGAGCATTTATCTCCTGTTTGCCACCAGAGGAATCTTTTTTTTCTTTTCTGATTCACATTTGTTCGCGCCAAAACACGCGCACGTGACACGTTGCGTTACACGTGATCGACTGACCTTTGTATCTTTTTGAGCGATTGTATCGTATTACGTTGTTGTCGTTCGTTTGAGAATAAATCGTCTCAAAAGGTTTACCGTTTTGTCGTCTTTAAATTACGTGAAATCGTCCTGAACAACATTTCTACTCTTCTTTCCTCTCCTGTTGCCCGCTGATGTGGAGAGTTCCTGAACATGTTCACTGTCCGTGTCATTTTCACAGCTTGCGCCACCAACGTGCGAATAATCTGAATCGCTACATGTACTGTTTTCGGACTCAACTTCTGCGCTAAAATCAGATATGCCCGACAGCGAGTCATTGGAATCCAATGAAATTGTGGAGCCTATTTCCCTCTGAGAATGGTCCGTCCAGAAATATCATTTTCCTTCATTTTGATACTCGCTTTCATCGACAAACTGTATCTCCACACTGTCCGCCATTATTTTGCTTTCACTAAGAACATCAGATCGAGATTGACCTTGATGCGGACGTTTCGGAAAACAGACTTCCGTCGACAACCCATCAACAAATAACTTAAGTGGAATTGACATATCCCAAAACCCGGACTAGAAGCCTCTCTCTCTGTCCCCTCATTTTTTATTGCGTTGGTRAATTTATCTGCAGTCACAACAACAGCTAGCTCATGGTTATCCGCTTAATACCAAAAAACCCCTCTGAGATGAAAGTTTAAGGGGGAGGAGATTCAATCAATACCACTCCACTTGTATTACAATCTATGCCATGGCAGTAGAAGCATCGTTCTAGTGTTGAAGGATGAGCTTATGCTGAATGTTTTTTAGAAAATTGACCTCAATGTAAGGAACTTGTAATTATAATGTAGTAGTTTTCAATAGAGTATCGAAAGTAATTCACATTTACTTTACATTTACGCTAAGCAATTGGCTTAAAAAAATCTCGCCCCTTTGTCATCCCGATCAGAAGTAAAACCAAAACCAATCATAACTCGCTCATACAGGTTTTTAAAGAAGCTTCAAAGCGGGGACAACCACTTATTAATCAAAGTGTCTATGAGCGACTCAACTTGGAAAATGGATCGTCCGTAAACAGTGACAATTTTGATGCCACTGACTTCAGGTTTTAATCTGTAGGTTAAGTTAAGTTAAGCTAGAGCCCACTGGCATTGTTAAGAAATAGTGCAAAACGCAACGGTAAGAGAGTACACGAGGAGACGTAACACTGTTGAAAACATTCATGAAGTTATCGGTCCGAGAGACCGAGTTATCCTCGTCCGAGACACCGAGACAATTGTAAAGAAAGTACCGCTTCTTTCCGATCACCAAAGCAAGTAATAATTCTCATTTTCATTCTTCTCAGTTTTTTCGTTCCTTATTTCCCCAGCCAGTATTAGTGATTTTTATTTTTTATCATCTTAGAAATTGAAAAATGCAAAACATGCGTTCAGCGTAGAGTCACTATATCACAAGGACAGCACCACGTCTCGCCCGCTCAACAAAGTCATGAACGTCCCACGAGTCATGAACATTTGTATTTTCTCGGTATACAAACGAGTCTTTAGGCGAGTGTGTATACTAAGAAAATACAACTGACGAGTAGGATATTCCATGGTATACCACTCGAGAGCTCTGCATAACAATAATATACCATGCCATAGAAAATATCAGGAGCCATAATCAGGGACGGAGACCGTAAGCGCGCGCTATTTCTAGTATTGGGGCTGTCCCTATGATACGGGACAATTTTTCTATTTTTAGAACAAATTGCGCCATCATGTG